TTCACTTTCAAAATAAGAGAGGAATTTTGTGACTGAGCTGGAAAATGATGCTGCTGTCACCATAGGTAATAAATAACCAGAACTTTCCGTAGGTACGTGACTGGTGGGACACGGACCCCACTTGTATTGGAGGAGTGACAAAGTCATGCTGTGAAAGAACATGGGTCAGAATACGTTGCTGCAAATATCTTTGAAAAGTACAAAATGCCATGACACCATTGACTATTTCACCATAGCCTGTGTTATTGTTTCAGTTAATGAACTAGTTCAACAAACTGATATGGAGATGTCATCATTTATCTTTCATCAAAATAAAATTAATAAGGAGTCATTGGGTGATTTTTCATGATGAAGCGTAAGCAAAAGGTAGCCTTCTTTTTTTTAACTTATTTATTTTTATTTTTGGCTGTGTTGGGTCTTCGTTTCTGCATGAGGGTTTTCTCTAGTTGTGGTGAGCGGGGGCCACTCTTCATCGTGGTGCGCGGGCCTCTCACTATCGCGGCCTCTCTTGTTGCGGAGCACAGGCTCCAGATGCGCAGGCTCGGTAGTTGTGGCTCACGCGCCCAGTTGCTCCGCGGCACGTGGGATCTTCCCAGACCAGGGCTCGAACCCGTGTCCCCTGCATCGGCAGGCGAACTCTCAACCACTGCACCACCAGGGAAGCCCCAGAAGGTAGCCTTCTTGATCAGTGAACATTAAAAAGCATAAGCACAGTTGCTGACCGCTCTGGGTCTTAGACACAAGTGGAATCAATGACTTTTGCACCGTGTTCCATAGCAATGCCGGATTCTCTCGTAGAGGTGAAGAGGGAAGCCTCAACTTCCTGACTTCCCCCTTAACCAGAGCAGCTTGGATTCTTCTGTATTTGTTTGTGTTTTATTTTACCTGAAAAAGTTACGCATCTGAAAACTGTTACAGCAGCCTTGAGCTAACACGATTGCCTTGTTTACAGATAAGGAAACCGAGCGTGGCCCAGGACCCAGACTCTCACCCTTACCTGGGATCTTTGCTAAATCAACTGGCTGCAGCCACAAGTCTGCACTTGCCTGCATTTCTGTCTCGCTATCAGTCAGGTTCATCTTGGTCATACCTCTGGGTGATTGGGTGGTTTTATTATAACCAGATATAAAATAGTTTATAACAGGGCAGAATCACACAATGCAGGCAGACCTGACATTTTTCTCATAGGACTTGATGAAAAATGGAGTCATGACATTATTTGAGATTATTCCAGAAAGCGAAATGCAAAACAAACTAGCCTGAGGATACAGCATAGCCCTCAGGGTATGTTAGATCCTCAAAGCCCTTTTGTTCTGCTAGAAGGTTTGCTAAATAATGTCAAGAACTGAAAATGTCAGTGACGTCTAGTACTGAAGACTACAGGGTTTTTTTAATGGTTAAACCCTAGGTTTTTACCTCCTGTTCAGCTTGGAGAAATGTCAGGACACATACCATGTGAGAGTAGCAAGCCCGAGGAGTGTCTGGGACAGGCTCGCAGACCTAGGATTTCAGATCTCTCATCTGGAATCCATTAGGTGGTAATATTATTAAGCTTCTAGTCAAATAGAAAAAAAAAAAAACAAAAAACACCGTATTCATTGGAAATGGAAGGCATTTGAATGTCAGCAAGGTTTCCTACCGCCAGGGACAAGGTTTTCTTGAAAGAAATGGAGCAGCAGCCAGTCTGTTTTCCTGGCAATTCCACCCTGTTTGCACATGGTTGGAATATGTAACAGTTCTTCCCTGGGCAGGGCACTTGACCTCCCCATAAGCCCTGTCTCCTTTGTCATTACCTCAGCCCTGTGGGGTAAACAGGACTCCTTTTGGCTGGTCGGAGAAGTTGTGAACTTAGCTGAGGTCACCCAGCCGAGAAGTGACAAAGGCGCATCCGGAATGCCACCCTGGGGCTCCTGGCCCAGTGCCCCATCCTGGGCACCCCCCTCCACATCCCTGAGCCACCGAAAGTCTCTGCGGTGGACTGAATTGTGCACCCCCAAATTTATATGTTGAAGCCCTAACCCCCCACGGGACCATATTTGGAGATAAGGTCTCTAGGCAGGTAATTAAAGTTAAATGAGGTCATAAGGGTGGCGCCCTAATTGAGACTGTGGCCTTACCAGAAGAGGAAGAGACCCCAGAGATGCTCTCTTTCTCTCTCCCTTCTCCCCCCACACACAAAAGAAAGGCCAAGTGAGGACACAGAGGGAAGCTGTCTACAAGCCAGGAAGCAGGCCCTCACCAGAAACCAAGTTCACCAGCACCTTGACCTTGGACGTCTGGCTTCCAGAACTGTGAGAAAATAGACGTGTGTTGTTTAACCCCCTCATATGCGGACTTTGTCGTGGCGGCCTGAGCAGGCTGAGACAGCCGCTCTCACCCAAAGCTATGGGGTGTGAGTAGAAGATCTTAGAGAGGCCAAGGGAAAAGATCCCGGAAGTCAGAGCATGGGGGCCCCTTTCTAAGAGAAAGAGCAAATGAGGGGTCCAGGCTGAGGGCCCAACAGGTCCTGTGTGCTCAGGACTCTGTGGAGGTAACTGCTATGGGGCCTCGGATCTGGGGGTGAATCCACTGAAGGGAGGCCCAGCCATGGCAGGAGGCCATGGGCCCCACTCCCACAGGCTTGGGGTTACACAGGGACTCCAGACTTACCCTGGTCAGCCTGCCAGGTCAGAGGCAATCCCAGAAGGGACCCAGAGTCAACGGCAGAGGTGGGACCCTGAAAACCTCGCTGGACTGGACAGTCAGGCCCAGAAAAGCTGCCCTCCTCTCTCCCTTCCAGCCAGTGCCAGGAGGGAGCATCACAATGCCCCAGGGACATCACCAGGGGTCACGAGGGAGCTGAGGACCAGAGGATATGCATGAGACTGGATGGTCCTGTCTGTCCAGGCAAAGCAGGTTCATGTGTTCATGAAACGTCTGCTGAGCCCTGACTACAGGCAGGGACTACAGTGCCCACTGGATACCCGACGGGGATGGGCTCAAGCACGGGGTGGCGTCTCCTAGGGAACCAGGGCTCCCGGGGAGCTGCCAGCCAACCTGTAACTGAGACGTGGGCACCTTGGCAGAGAGCAGTGCAGAGCACGGAGGCTCTGCTGAGGCAGTTGCTAAACGAGGAGTTTGAACTTAAGTGAAGAGGCATCCCTGGGGATTTTCAGGCAGGTGTGAAATGCCTAAATGTGCATTTCAGAAAGGTCACTCAGGTGGCGTTTTTGGAGAAGGGAAAGGCTGGAGGGGATGAGGCTGGTGGGAAGGTGGTACAATAGTCCAGACAGGGAGCCCCTGCACCAGGGTGGAGATGGCAGAGACAGAGAAAGAGCTGGTGACAGACCAGACGTGCACATCAGGGGATGGGGGTGTGCTTCCAGACCCCCTGGTTTCTGGTTTGAACAGCTGGCATGATCAGCCATTAATAAGGTGGGAGCACAGGAGGGCAAGTGGGGACGGTGGAGGCAAGGAGGCTAGCTTGCTTGAGTTCCTGAGACATCACCGTAAAGGTGTCCAGGGGTGGATGGGACACAGATCTGGGTCTCAGAGGAGAGGTCTAGACTGGATGCATGGAGTCAAAGATCCCTTGACCCATAGATGGCATTTCGGTGAGATCACCTGCTGTAGGTGAATTGTACCCTCATCCAAATTCATGTGTCCAAGGCCTAAGCCCTCGTTCCTCAGAACATGACCACATCTGGAGAGCGGGCACTTAAAGTGGTGCTCAAGTTAAGATGAGGCCGTTAGAGCGGGCCCTACTCTAGTCTGACTGGTGTCCTTATAAGTAGAACTGTGGACACACGGGGGACCCCAGGGATGCACGTGCACAGAGGAAAGACCGCGTGTGGATGCAGCGAGAAGAGGGCCTTCTGCAAGTCGAAAAGTCTCTGCAGAAACCAGCCCTGCCGACACCTTGGTCTTGGACTTCCAGCCTCCAGAATGTGAGGAAACAAATTTCTGTTGTTCAAGCCCAGTCTGTGGCACTTGGTTGTGGCAGCCCAAGCAGAGGACAACCAAGGAATCCTGTAGGAAATCGGGATACTAGTGAGATGGAGAGGAAAGGAAGCGCAAATCAAGATGATTGCGGATGGAACCATGAGAACCAGAGGAGCATCATGTCAAGTGGACACTTCCTGGTGAGGCCACACACCAGTGAAAAGCAAGAGCTGTTTCTGTGGAGCAGTGGGGACCAGGCCAGACTGGATGGCTGGACGGAGCGGCGGGAGGGCAGACCATGGACATAGCAGGAGTAAACAGCCCTTCAAGAGGCTTGGGGTAAAGGGCAGAAACGGTGGGGACAGCGGTGTGATGGGGACAGCGCCCAGGGAAGATTTTAAAATTCTGTTTTCTTTTGTTCTTGGTGAAGAGCATGTGTATTATGAGAGAAACTCAAGACTGCTTTTGTGGACAAGGAGTAGCATGTGGCTGGCATTGGACGCATCCTGCAAGATCCAACCGAAGACGTACAGAACACTCCGCTAGGATCGTGCAGAGAATTTACCGAGGGAACAGTGGGCAGCATTACAGAAACGAAAAGGGCTGCTGAGACACCCAAGGAGAGTCATTCAACAACCAGAGCTGAACAGAAGAGAGAAAGAAACGCTGATGCCCGCACCAGGCTTGTCTAGCAGGACCGCACGGGGGAAGGTGCCCAACGAAGTTGTGCATCAGAGGACCTGGCACTTTCGGAACTGCAGCGTCATCACAGGAGGGTCAGAAAGCAGGGCTGGATGCCTCTTTCACCTCGCATCTGCTCCTAGAGGCTCCTAGAGACAAACCCAGCCAAGGACCTAGGGCAAGAATGCCAAGCGAAGAGGCCAGAGAGGCCATGCCCCCCGGGTACAGCGTAGAGCTGATCATGGATTTGGGGCTGTTCTGGGTGAATTTTGTCTGCCCAAAAAAGATACATTGAAGGGCTTCCCTGGTGGCACAGTGGTTGAGAGTCCGCCTGCCGATGCAGGGGACGCGGGTTCATGCCCCGGTCCGGGAGGATCCCACATGCCGCGGAGCAGCTGGGCCCGTGAGCCATGGCTGCTGAGCCTGCGCGTCCGGAGCCTGTGCTCCGCAATGGGAGAGGTCACAGCAGTGAGAGGCCCGCGTACCGCAAAAAAAGAAAAAAAAAAGATACATTGAAGACCTAACCCCGAGGACCTCAGAATGTGACCTGATTTAGAAACAAGGTCGATGCAGATATAATGAGTTAAGATGAGGTCACACTGGGGTAGGGTGGGCCCGACTCCAGCATGACTGGTGTTCATATAAAAAGACAGCTGTGTGAAGCCGGACACACAGGGAAAGCACCGTGTAAAGACAGGGGATTAGACTGAGGATCTAAAAGCCCAGAAACACCAAGGATGGCCACCAAAGACTGGAGCGAAGAGAACGGAAGGGGATAGATCCTCCCCTGGGGCCTCTGGGGGAGCAAGGCCCCGCTGGTCCTTTGGTTTCAACTTCCAGCCTCCAGAACGTTGAAACAATACTTTCCTGTGGTTTTAAAGTACCAGTTTGCTGTACTTTGTGAGGGCAGCCCTGGGAAACTAACACGCGGGGATAGAGCCTAACAAGCAGATTTAGGGAACAATGATGAGCAAGGTTCCTGGTTGGGCTGGAGGGTCGTGAACAAAAGGCGGGAAGTAAGGCTTCCTGGGAAGAAAGAGGAGGGGGCCGTGTGGGTGCAGAGAAGGAAATTGAGGCCATGCCCTTCCTTCCCCTGCTTTCTCCAGCGTGTGACAGGCAAAGTCCTCAGCCATGAGTTAGGTGTAGTGGCTGGGGTAGGAGTGGGGGAGCCAGGGAACAGCGAGGCACATGTGGCAGGGAAGGGACAGGAAGGTTTCTGAAGAAGGAAATAGTGGCCAAGTGCCTGGGCGACCTGCCTAGATTCAACTCCATCCCCTTGTCTGGCACCTGTCTTCACAGTCTTGCGATCTTTCTCCAGCGGCTACTAGCCCGGTATGGGGAGAGATGTGGGCTACTGGTATCAGTCCACGGTGGGGACTTGCAGTGTGGACACTGCCAAGCAGTGCTGCCTGATAGGACTTTCTGCTGTGAAGGAAGTATTCTCTAAATCTTTACTGTCCAGAGGGAGGGCCACAAGCCATGCCTGGCCACTGAACGCTTTAAGTTGCTGGTGCAACTGACAAACGGAATTTGTTTTACTTTCATTAATTCCAATTGAAACCACAGGTGGCGCTGGGCTGCCATACTGGATCTGGCATGGGTGAGCCGTGGTGGGTGTAGAAAAGGCCAGTTTCAGCCAAGGAGCTGGACCCACAAAGCCCGAGGCCAGGTTGGAGTCTCATCCAGACAGAGGAACAGCCTGAAATCATTAGATTCTCTCTTTAATAAATTAACTCCTCAAGGGGAAATTGGCCGCTGGCCTAGGAGTTGGTGGGTAATTTTGAGGAGTGAGAGTTGTGTTGAGGTGTGAACCCTGGAAGGAAAAGTCATTCTCTAACATCTTTTCTTAGTTGGCCAAGGTCACCATGCCCTGCAAGTACCTTGTGCTTGTAGTATGTGTGAGAAGCTTTCTGAAACGTTTTAAAACTTCCCAGATGTGCTGAAGAGCTTTGTCCTAGAGAAGTTACAGACCTGGTATTTTCATGGTGCTTTATCGTATCCTTGGGTCCTTCTCCCAACATTCTAAAGAAAGCTCTTGAGAGGATAAGACGCCTGTTGATTAATTAAACTCAGTGCAAGCCATTTGCCCTCTCCTGGGGCTTATTAAACCACAGAGATTCCATAAGGAAGCCCCTGCTCAGATGCAAGAAAAATAAAAGAATTGTAAACTGTCACACAAAGCAATTCTAAGGATACAAGAAAAATAAATGTTGGGAAGTCTGTGCCGTGCCAGCAATGGAAAAATACACACACTGATACCTGCTAGAATCACTGATAAGTGGTCCTCTTATGAGAGTCGGAAACACAGCCACAGGGCCTGGGCACCACGGCTCATAAACGCATGGAGGATACGCAGCTTCCCAGATGCTGACAACCGGTCTTCATAAATCCCCGAGTGTAAAGAGGCCAGGGGTCTGCCATGTGTTTCCAAACGATAAAATTCAAAGGATTAATGACAACTTAGCTTCCTAGATTGATTAAAAAAAAAAAAAAAAGCACGCTACCCCTTTGTTTAAGCTGGATGTGGTGTCTGTGCTGCCCGCCCCAGGACCACGTGGTTCTGTGTCCTCTCCACCCCAGCCCAGGCAGCTGTGGCATGGGGCAAAGTATCCCTTTGTGCTCTGCGAATTTTTCATACATAGACTCTTAGTGCTCTGGGTTTTTTCCCCCCATTTTTTCAAACCTAATTGGAAAAAAGTCATTCCAAGAACCCTTATTAAATACTGTCATTTCAGAAGTGAGAGTGTAATGATGAAGATGTCATTTGGGGATTTGGAAAAACAACATTTTTTTCAAAATCTATGAAGTTAGCCTGCCCTCTTGAAGTTTGGGTGTTATCTCAGTAAAATGAGTATCCCTAGGCAATATTTTTGGAAGGGAAAGGGCTGGTCAACCCGCACACAGGTGACTAAAACAGCAATATTTCTCTCTCACCAAATAGCCCATGAGGTTTCTCTTACTAAAGCAACATCCAAAGCTCGCCTTTAGCTCCTGCTGGTAAAAATCAACTCCAGCAACAGGCCGGGGAGCAGGGTTTCACGATGAATGCATTCATTCTCTGTAGAATGTTTGGTAGCGGAGCTAAGTCTCTCATAAGCTGCGGAGCCAAAGGTAAGTAACTCTGGCTTGTGAGTTTTGTTCTCAGTAGGAAAAAGAAACTATTTAAAATAATATTTCATGGTTACCTCTTCTGGAAGTTACATGCCAGGTGCTGGGGTGGAGGTGGAATCGGGGAGACCTGCCCGAGGTCGGTTTGGAGGCTGCCACCTTGTCCGTCTGAAGCAATGTCTCCATCACGCGATGCTCATGGAGAAGGCAGGGCATTGACAACTTGGGTTTTGTTATGATGACTGCTATTACTTACGTATCTGTCCAATACTCAGCCCCCACTGCCAGCCGCCGCTCCCCGCAGAAAGAATGCAGGTAATTGGAGACAAGCCTGCCTTCCCGGGGCCGTAGCTGGTAAGTCCTGGCACGATTTATGTTGTTTGGTTTCCACTAAGGAACCCGCAGATAGCTGCTTTCAAAAACCCAGCCTGCCCTGAGGATAGATGTTGTAAGTCTGGGTCAAATTTATGAGAGTTTCATGAAGCACATACATCAATCAGCTGGATCTGAATAAGTGAAGTCCCTTCGTTCCCTCAAACGGCACGAGTCTCATTCATTCACTCCTTAATTCAGCGAGTATGGGTGGATCCTCCTGTGTTCCAGACACTGGAAGGACCCGAAGACACCAAGAGGAGCGGACAGTCTCCTGTTTAATCATTCCACTGCCCTCCTCCCAACTCCTTTTAGGTGAAAAATACAGTAGAAGTTGGAGAACACACAAGTGAAACAAAACCCAGACCTATTCTCTTACATGCCATGGTGCTCACAGGTGGGCATGGTTTCCAATGTTCACATCCCTTCTCTGTCACACCTGAGATGGAAGAACAAGCAATGAGCATCAAGGGGGCCAGGTGCTCAGCGACAGAGAGGGGGCATGGCTGCCCTGATGGGCGTGTGGAGTAGGTGCTGATTAAGGCCCCTCGGGGAATTCCACCTCCTCCAGGCAGCCCTCAGGAGTCTGTGAGGCAAGCTGGAGCCCCGTCCCTTGGCCCCAGTGTTGCTCCAACAAACTGAATTAGTTGACTTTGGGGAACGGCGCCCCATCATGACTTACTCAGGCGCTGGCTAAGACAGAAGGTTACATGAATTGAGTCATCATAGCTGGGGCCAAGAATGTTTTTTATGTTCCCCACTGTTACCAATTTTCAAATATATGGATTCCTCAAATATTATGCACATAACCACAGGGCACGGTTCTAGAAACTAATAGCAGAGGGCTGTTAAAATGGAAAAGAACTTTGCATTTGAAATGTAAGAACAAACAACTTCTGGTAAATCTGTTTAAAAAGAAGGAAGATGTGGAAAGAATTCTTCTTGAGAGGACCAAGAAGGCTGCAATGCAATCGGCTGCTTCTGGATCAAGTTAGAGTCTGCCACGTTTGCCAATGGTGACATTGGACTAATGGACTGATTCATTTGATAACAATCCTCTGAGATGAGTACGGGGCACTCCCAGCATCGTCCAAGCCTGTGTGTCACACGTGTGCTCACCCATCCTCAACTGTCCTTTCACGATAATGTCCAACATTGGAGGAAATTAGAAAGAGAAGACTGTCAGGCGAGGGGAAAGGGGAGCCGTCCCTGAAGGGACAAGTGTGCTAGGCTGTGTGTTACCAAATGCAAGTTCGTGTGCCTGACCCACAGTCCGGCCAAACAAACGAAAACGGCAGAGTTCGGAGCAGAAAAAGATCTATTGCAGGGCCCTGCAAGGAGACGCGTGGGCCGTGCCAGAAAAAGCCTGAACTCCCTGAAAGGTTTCAGCAAAGCGCTTTTGTATTTAGTATGAACTTTTAAAGGCAAGGTGAGGAAGGGGCGTGGTTTGTTGTTTCAAACTTCTTGGTGTCGGCATCCTTTGTTCTTGCCGCAGTCCACCTAGGTCAGGTCAGGTTCCTGTAAACCTCCAACAAGACGAATGTTATTCTCTCTTCTGCAAATTTGTACATCTATATGAATGTAAAAGTGTTATATCCTTGAAGGTCAGAGCCTTGAGTACAGCCTATCCTGCATATTTCAGGCTCTAGGCAACATTCTTTTACAAAAGGTGCAGAGCCAGCACGACTAGGCCCAGGCAACAGAGCACAGGGGTTAAAGTAAAAGAAATAGACCCAGCATGGAGTCAGATGTGTTCTTCCCCATTATGTGTGTAGTAAGGGTCATTACAGAACTGTCTCACTTGACTCTCACCACACACTTTGAGATGGACGTTAGTATGGAATCCGTATTCTAGAGGAGAGAACGAAGGCTCAGAAAGGCTGAGTCACTTGTCCAGAGCAAGACTTTGAATTTAGGTATGTCTGATGTTGCCATCTATGAACTAGAAAGAAAGCAGC